CAAATATAAACAGCTCTTTGCGGGGGTCTATTAGTTTTCTATTGCTGTGTAACACGTTAGCACAAACTTAGTGGCTTAAAATACATGCAGTTATCATCCTACATTTTCCATGGGTTGGGAGTCTGGGCAGGGGTTAGCTGGGTCCTCTGCTTGGGGTGTCACCAGGTGAAATCAATGTGTCTGCTAGGGTGGATTCTCATCTGAGGCTCAGAGTTCTCTTCCAAGCCCACCCAGTTGTTGGCACAGTTAAGGTCCTTGCAGCAGTTATTTTTTTGCAGACTGGCAGACAGCGGTCACTTTCAGCTCCTAGAGGTGACCCTCAGGCCTTTGCCATGTACCCCCCTTCATAGACCCTCTCACAGACTAGCAGTTTGCTTGGTATTGGCCAAAAAGAGAGCATCTCTGACACTTCATCGTCTCATAAAGGTCTCACCTGATTAGGTCAGGCCCACCCAGGATTGTCTCCCTTTTGATAAACTCAAAGTTAGCTGATTAGTAACCCAATCAGAAATGTAGTACTTCATCTTATTCACCGGCCCCTCCCATACTCAAGGAGAGGGGACTATACAAGGTGTGTACATGGCAAGTGGGAGAAATCCTGGGGCTTAGAATTCTGCCTGCCACAAGGGGTTTTGGGGCTAGGAAAATGGGGTGGTAGAGTCTGGGAGTGGTGCCTCACACCTGTAATCCCAGCACTTTGGGAAGCCGAGATGGGTGGATCACCTGAGGTCAGGAGTTCGAGACCAGCCTGGTTAACATGGTGAAACCCCAACTCTACTAAAAATACAAAAATTAACTGAGTGTGGTGGCAAATGCCTGTAATCCCAGCTGCTTGGGAGACTGAGGCAAGAAAATCACTTGAACCCAGGAGGTGGATGCTGCAGTGAGTGGAGATCATGCTGCTGCACTCCAGCCTGGGAGACACAACGGAACTCTATCTCAAAATAAACAGGAAAAGGAAAAAAAAGAAAATGGGGTAGTAAGGGCAAATGGGTGTGGTAGGTGTCTCCAAGATGCCCCAATGATCCCTGCCTCATGCTTTCCCTTGAGTGTAAGTTCACTAATTTTTTTTGCTATAATTTAAAAAAATATGATAAAATATACTTAACAAAAAATTTACCATTTTAACAAGTTTTAAGTGTGCAGTTCAGTTGTATTAACTACATTTGCCTTGTTATGCAACCATCGCCACTATACGTCCCTTAAACTTTTTCATTTTCCCAAGGTGAAACTCTGTTCCTATTAAACAATAACTCCCCATTTCTCCCCCCAGCCCCTGGGAACCACCCTTCTACTTTTTTTCTGTCTCTGAATTTATTCCAGATGGCTACAAGTAGAATCATACAATATTTCTCCTTTTGCACCTGGTTTATTTCACTCAATATAATGTCTTCAAGGGTCATCCATGTTGTAGCATATGTCAGAATTTCATTCCTTTTTATGGCTGAATAATATTCCAGTGTATCTATATACTATATTTTGTTTATCCATTCATCTTTCAATGAACACTTCAGTTGTTTGTACCTGTTGGCTATTGTGGATGCTACTATGAACATGAGTATACAGATATCTGTTCGAGTTCCTGCTTTCAGTTTTTTTGTGTGTATACTCAGAAGTGGAATTGCTGGGATATGTGGTAATGTTTTGAAGACCCACAGTACTATTTTCCGCTGTACCATTTTACATTCCCAGCAGCAGTGCACAAGGGTTCCAACTTCTCCTAGCCTGACTTACTTCTAACAAATAGAATGAGACAGAAGTGGTGAGATCGGACAGGTTGTCAAAAAGCTTGTCTTGGGTACTCTCTTGGTTTGCTGGCTCTGAAGGAAGCAAACTGCCAGGTTGTGAACTGCCCAGTGGAGAAGCTCAAGTGGCAAGGAACTAATGTTTCTAGCCAATAGCCACCAAGCACCTGAGCCCTCCCCACAGCTGTGTGTGTGTGTGTGTATGTGTGTGTGCGCGCGCGCGCGCGCTTAGAAGTGAATCATCTCCCCATCAAGCTTTGAGATAACTGCAGCCCTAGTTGACATCCTTGTGAGAGACGTTGAACCAGGGCTTGAGCTGCTAAATTTTGGGTATACATAGCATAGATAACTAATGCAGTGGGGCTGGATAAAAACTTATTAAGAAGAAAGAAAGAAAACAGGTTTGTATGCTGCTGTCAATGATCTTGTAGAGGAAAAATTCCAGGAGAGAGAGGAGAGAATTGCTGAGGGGATACCCTTTGGTAGACAAGAGGGGATAAGATCTGGCAAATGAGAAGAGGGATTGACTTTAGATAGAAGCAGAAGCTTATCTACACAGTGAGAGAATGGATTCACCGGAGAAATCCACATGAATTGAAGTCTGTGGTCAGGAATTTAAAGTAACACCAGCAGGAAGTGGTGTGATTTTTCTCTAGCCACTTTCAGCTGCACAGGTTTGAGTATAGAGTAGGTAGGACTGCATTTAACCAGGGCTTTGTTTTGCCAAGAGAGGATGGCAAAGCCAGAGGGGGACAAAGGAGTTGGAGACAATTCACAAGGTAGTTATTTTAATGGTTGGCCATGAATAGCGACATGGTAGGATTGAGCAACTGGGGGTCCCAGTTAGGACAAAAGATTGTCGGAGTTGGGTTACTTGAGACCATAGTGTTTAGCAGGTGGACACAAGAAATCAAGATTAGTGATGGGGTGAAGTTATAGGGTGTGGCGATAGGACAGAGTGACTGAGAGAAGGTAGAGGAGAAGGTCGTTAGAGGAAAGAAGTTCAAGGAACCGAAACACCAGTGTGTCAGGTGCTGTGGAGGGATCATCTTTAATATCATCACTATAGAGATCACCTATATTGAAATTACAACATTGAGGGTTAGTAGGAATAAATGTATACATTAATAAGAGGCTATTGAACATGCGTGTCATATCTGTGAAGCCATTTTTTAAAATCTAGGACCAAAATAGCAAAAAATAAATCTTGATCATGGCAAACATGTGTTTACTCCTTATTTTCTGCTAGGCACTATTTTAAGTGCTCTATGTGCATCAACTTGTTTGTTTAATCCTCAACAAACCTGTGAGGTAGGTACTGTCATCATTCCCATTTTATAGATGAGCCAACTGGCACAGAGAGGCTTAAGTAATTTTCCCCAAATCACATTGCTGATAAGTGGAAGAGCTGGGATTTGAGTACTAGAGTCTAGGTCTGGTGTCCTTACTTTTAATCACTAAACTCTCCTACTTCCCTTTTGTCCCTTCATCAATTTGCTCTTCTCTAGAAAGTTCTCAAGGCACTAGGGTCAGGGCCATGTAACTTGTCACTTAATCATATTTCATGTTGAATTAATCATCATGCTTTCTTGTGTGTCAGTCTTCCTTCCACAACTAAGAGCAAACAAACATCTGTAACGCTCACTCTCTTCCTCCCCTAATCCCAGTTCTTGCACACACACACTCACAAATATGCGTGTGCATGCACGCACACACACACACTTGCACCTTCCTCTGCCAAGCACAGAGCTGGACACACAGTTGAGTGTCTTTCCGGTTAGGGTAGAATAGGGCAGTGATTATGAATGAGCTCTGGGGCAATTTCCTGGTCCCAGGTCCTGGCTCTAAAGCCCCATATTGGTTATGTGACCTTGGGCAAGCTCCTTTGCTTTGATGGGTCTTAATTTCTCAGTTGTAAAATGGGAACTTTGATTGCCCCTTCCTTGTAGAGCCTGTGAAGAGAGTGAGTGGGAATTACCTAACCCTAAACAAGTGCTCAAAAAGAAGTTATTGTTGTCATCATTATTACCCTCCCTAATCTCCCATCACTCTCCTACTTCCAGCTCATTGTCTTTCTGGTAATTCCTTGAATATATTAAGCGATTCCTTGCCTCCTGGCCTTTACATTTGTTATGTCCTCTGCCTGAATCATTCTTACTCTATATTTGCATAAGATAAGCTTCTTTGATTCAGATCTCTGCTCAAATGTCACCTCCTCAAGAGACAGCCTCATCTCATGGTTTTATCTAAAGCTCACATGTGCACATGCATGCACACACACACACACACACACATTTTACTCTTATCTGCACAGCACTCACCACTATCTGGAATTATTACAAATATTAATTGCTTATTGTCTGTCTCCCTCCCTAAAATATAAACTCCAGGAGGACAAGAACTTTGTATTCCTTGTTCATGGCCATAATCCAGTGCCAGGCATTAAACAAACACTCAATAAATCTTTTTGAATGAATGTTGAATGAGAAGCCATGACTGCTTATAATCAAGATCACTATTAACTGAGTGTTTACTCTGTGCAAGGCATTGCATTAAGTCCTGGATATGAATTGCTTCATTTAACCTTCACCAATAGCCTAATAAATACCTATGATGGTTCTCAAATTTACAGAAGACACACTTGAGGAACAGAGCAGGTAAGTCACATATTGAAGATCACACTGTAGGTACATGCAAGAGTTGGGGGCCGGGCACGGTGGCTCAAGCCTGTAATCCCAGCACTTTGGGAGGCCGAGACGGGTGGATCACGAGGTCAGGAGATCGAGACCATCCTGGCTAACACGGTGAAACCCCGTCTCTACTAAAAAATACAAAAAACTAGCCGGGCGAGGCGGCGCGCGTCTGTAGTCCCAGCTGCTCGGGAGGCTGAGGCAGGAGAATGGCGTGAACCCGGGAGGCGGAGCTTGCAGTGAGCTGAGATCCAGCCACTATACTCCAGCCTGGGCGACAGAGCGAGACTCCGTCTCAAAAAAAAAAAAAAGAGTTGGGCTTCAAATCCATGTTTCTTGGGCAAAGCCTGCAGTCTTGACCACTGTGCATTTCAGGTAAAAGACTTCTCTCTTCTGGCCATAACTTTTTCCTCTCATATTCCAACCCAGCTGCTGTATCTGGCACTCAGACAGGCTGCCTTCAGGTCCACCAGGGAATATTCTGGAAAAGACCCAACTCAGCTCCTTGGAAAGGAGCCCCAGCTGGGCTGGGAGCATCAGGTCTGTGAGGCCCCTGCTGGCTCACCTGCTGCCTGCTGGCAAATCCACATGTCCATGATTGGTTCTGAGGGGAAGCCACCAGGTGTGGGAGTTGCTGAGCCAAGATCTCAACAGGCTCCTCACCCTTCATAGCCTACCCCTGCTGGCCCCCTACCTTCTAGCTGTAATAGAATATGTGGTATTTCCACAAGAGTCCAACCTGTCTCTCCACCCCTTGCCTCAGAATATTCTGCTCTCCTACTGTCATACCCTTCCTGCCTCCTTGTCCTCAAGCAAACTCCTGCTTATGCTTCAACACCCAGCTCAATAGTCACCTCCCGCATGAAGCCTTCTCTGATCTTCCCCAGGCTGACTGGACTACCCTCCTCTGTTTCCTGCCTCTGCACTGTACTGCAGAGCAACTAAGCAGGTGGGCTTGGAGCCAGGTCATTAGATTCACACATTTTCTCCTTTGCTAGTAAGCTGTGTGACCTCAGCAAATTAAAGTCCCCAAGCCGAAGTTTTCCCATCTGTAAAATAGGGACAATAATAGCACTTACCTCATAGTATTGGTGTGAGGCTTAAATGAGATAACCCATGGAAAGTGCATGTGCCTGGTACATAGTGAACCTGCAAAAATATTAGCAATGATCATTATTAACTCTACCTTTCTTAGAGAACCTGTGTACCACTTTAGACTAATCTTGGGACGTTATCTTGTACCCATGAGCTTTGTGCTGTGACTGGAACATACTAGCTGCTCCATAAAGGTTTGTGGAATGGATCTGGCAACTTTTTAGGAAGCATGAATTAAGGGAAGAGAGGAGAATGCATTTCTCTCTGTGTCTCTGTCTCTCTCTGATTCTCTCTCTCTCTCTCTCTCTCTCTCTCTGTCTGTCTGTCTGTCTCTGTCTCTCTCTCTCTCTCTCTCAACAGGGTCAGAGTCTTGTTGGGGTCAAATAGTAAGGATGTGGATGAGGTGGCAAACAGCCCAACCAAACCCTGTGGCTTCTGTGCTTACTCTCAGCTTGTAGCCTCAGTTTCCTTCATCCTCTTAATCATTGTATTTACAGTGGGAAAATCTTTTTGGAAGACAGTTGCTGCAGGCATCTCAAAAAACCTAGGACCCAGAGAAAATTCTTGGCCCCTTTTCACCGGGCTTATATGCTCAGATTATTTCCTGAGGACTTCCTGAGGACTTCCTGAGTATCTATGTAACTAGATCTTTTATTGCCCTAGTGCTGGGAGAAAGCAACAACATAACCTTATAGGCTAATGCTGGGGAGGTCAGGTTTCTTCTCAACTTCCTGTGCATTTGGTGGGCATGGCCTTACCGAGTGATGAATGATTCCATGACTCAAAGTGCCACATTACAGAGGGGTTCCTTGGGTGTAGAAAGGTGATCCCTCTGCCATACCCCTCTCCTCATCTTTCTTTCTATAAGGGTCTAGTGCCCTGACTACAAGGAGGTACCTCCTTCCTACCATTTCCTCCCATTTCATCTCTCCATTTTCCCTGCCTGTCCTCATATTTACTTCTACTTGATAAGAGTCATGCTTTCAAGAGAATTTCTTATAATAAATATCCTACATTAACATAGCACATTATTGCATCTCTATTCTTTTAAAAATAGTCATTTTATTAAATAAGTAATGCATGATCATTATAAAAGATGTCGAAAATGCAGGGGCATTTAAGAATATTTAAATCAACTGTAATCTCATAGCCCCGAGAAAAACTGCAAAAAGAAGTTTGCACATTTCCTTCTTGACTGCATGTGTGCTTATGTATACATTTGTACATACTTAACACCACCCTACATATTCAACACAGATGCACACCATACACTTTGCATTTACTTAGATCTTGTGACTTTCCATGACATGTTCCCGTGATTTCTTTTTTTCCTGGCCACCATCATGAAAAGGAAAGCAGATGTTATTGTCTTGGGATTCTGGATACAGGAAAACTAAGACCCAAAAAAGGAACACCCTTTCTCAAGGTCTTGCAGCTTGCTGGCACAGTTGGGATTGGAGCCCAGGTCTCTTGGGTCACAGCCAAGTCTTCTTTCCAATGGCCTGAAAGAAAAAATAATCTACCCCGCAGTACCAAGGAGAAGAATCTTAAGTACCAGTGCCAAGTTGGTAAAATCTAGAATCGGAGTTCTTAGGTTGTTGACACTTTACCCAAAGTCCAAAGCTAGCTAATGCTGAAATGCTTCCATGAAGCAAACTGAAAATGTCCTGTGATCACTGAGGGAGGTGAGAGACACCTTATGTGGCCTTGATTTTGATACTGTCCCATCCCTGGTGACCCTCTCTTAGCCAGGGTTTCAAGTTGCAAACCAAAACATGAATTACCCCTAATATATGCAGAAAGTTAATTTATTCAAGGATATCAGGTACATCACAGAATCTCCAGAAAGGCTAGAGAATCAGATATGGTAGCCACATTGCCAGAAACAGCCAAACCTAAGGACAACTGTCAAATATTTGACAACTTCACGACACAGGCTCCAAGTAATCAGAGGAGTGGAAGGTGGTAGATAACCTCTGCAACTGTTCTGGAACATACTCGCTGAACATCAGCCCTGCCCAAATACACCTCAGAAACATGCCAGTAGGAAATGGTATTAGTCAGGTTTCTTTGGCAGTAGTGCCACATAGCAAATTATTCTCCAGTCTCAACAATGAGCATTTTATTCTCTGTTCATGGATCTGTTGTGGCTTGGCTAATCTCTGCTGGGCTCAGCTGAGCAAACTGGAGTTTGGTTTAGAGTTCAGGTCAGTTTCAGGTCTGTTTCAGGTTTCTTCCTTCTAAGACCCAGATAGAAGGAGCAATGGTTATATGGAACATAGTCTTCTCATGGTGAGGAAGGAGGCTCAAGTGGGCTGATGGAAACTCACCATGCTTCTTAAGGCCTCTCTGAGATGCTGTCCCTTTCGTCTACTGTCCATGGCTCAAAACAAGTCACACAACCAAGCCCTCAGTCAACGGTCCAGAATGTAGACTCTGTCTTCTGCCATGGGAGGAACTGCAGAGTCACATGGTTAAAAGCTTGGATTCTAATACAGGGAGAAAATGAAGAGTGGAGACAATTATTCAATCTACCATAGCCCTACAGATGCCACCCTTGGGCATAGCTTCTTCAGTTTACACCACTAACACTGAGCTCTGCTACCACTGGAACCTCTTTTCCTACTGCCTCTTATAAATGGAGGTGTTTACCACCATTTTCATTAGAATGGATTCTACCCAGAAGCTGCTTTTCTGGTTCACTGGTTTCTAGTTCATTATCTAGAGCAGATACAGCCTCTTGACTGTGTCCTGGCTACCAAAGAGGCTCAAAAATCAAGTTTCTGGCTTCTATCTAGGTGGGGATGGGCGAGTTCATTTATTAAGGGGGGAATTGGTTAATTTAGTGAGAAATCTCTCTGACATAGGAAGTGTGGTCAGGGTATCGGGTGACCAGAAAGGATGGCAGATGCCCACTGCACCCACCTTCACAGCAGACCTCTGGGAACGGGGAGATCTAGCACAGCCCATAACTCAGCCATGTGTCTACCACTGTCCTCTTGCTGTCTCCATGCCCTCACCTCCCTTGACTCCTCTGCTCCCTGAATTTATCTTCTCCCACTCATAACATCTGCCCTGCCTCCTTTACTCTGATGACTGTCACAGAGATTGCTGGATGCACCCAACACCCATTCTCTCCTTCTTCCTTTAAGTAAGGGACCCTTAAGCTTTAGCTGGGTGTAAGGACAACCATCTGAAGACTACACTTTCCACTTTCCATGCAGTGAGGTGTGGCTCTGTGCCTATCTTGGGGCCAACGGATGTGAGTGGAAGGGAGGTGTGAACAAAGGCAGGACCATATTCCTAAAAGGAAGTTGCTTGCCTTTCATTTTCTACTTTTCCAATCCCACAGATTGGAATGCAGATGGGGTGAACTGCATCAATCCTGCAGGAAGGGTAGCAGCCATGGAGATTGTGAAACAGCAAGATAGAAGGACCCAGGTGTCTGAGACACGTTGGGGAGCAGACCCGCCTCCCCTGCTGGACTGTCAACTCTGATTTATGTTAGTACATAAGAGAGAAATGAACTTCTATCCATTGAAGCCACTAAAATTTTGGTCACTATAAAAAATAAAACCAGCTGAACCAATATTCTAGCAAAAACAGAGACCCACCCAGTCTTTCTTTGGTGTGAGAGTAGATAAGGTTAACTTACTAGCTTTGGAGATAGGCATATCTAAAGTTCGAATCCTGACCCTGACAATTCTTAGCTTTGTGACTTTGGGCATATTATCGCAACCTCTGAATCCTCATCTGTTTTCATCTGTGAAATGGGATTACCCTATCTACTCATAAGATAGTAGTATGGTTTACTTTTTTAGATTGGATATAAAGCCCTTAGTACAGTGGCTGCCATTTAACTGTTCAAATAAAAGGCATGGATTACTATTATTTGGGAGTAGAGTTTGGACTTTGGTTGCAAACATACATCTCATATATGTGACAGCCAAAGGCTTAGGTTTAATGAAATTTTCATTCACTAACTAGAATAGTTATTAATTCCTACTGTGTATAGGACATTCTCCTAGATGATGAGGAGGAGATAAAAAGATAAGATAAAAATATAAAGATAAATAAGGAACAATTCTGCATTCAGATATCTTACAATTTAGTGAGAAAGGAGAAAATAGAAACAACCCACTACTCCAACGGCTAAATAAAATAAATGTGAAAAATAAAGTGCAGGCAAAATGTCAGGAGCAAGAAGAGGTTATACCTAAACCCAACTAGGGTTGGATTACCAGATTAAAATGTGGGACATCCAGTTAAATTTTATAAGTAACAGGTAATTTTTCAGTATAAGTATGCTCTATGAAATATTTAGGACATACTTATAGAAAAGATTATTCATGGTGCATCTGAAATTCAAATTTAACTGGGCATTCTTTATTTCATTTGCTAAATCTGGCAACTCAAAACTTGGAAGGATTAAGGGAGACTTCAGGGACGAATTGGCATATGAACTGTGCCTTAAGGATAATGAACAGCATTTCAGTAGCTG